GCCCTCCTGGCAAAACTGGTGGTCCATACTAAGATACTCAGTACCTCGGCGCCCCCTCTGGGGGTTCAATGATTGTGATGCGGAAGTGCCGGTGAAGTTTCAAATTCTCCGTTTTAAGACTTAGTTCGCCGTATTTTTTTCATCATTGGGGAAGTTTGAACATTTCATTCGATACTTCCGTATTTCTTGTAAATATCGTGCAATGTGTTATTTTATATTTTTGTATTATAATTATTGTAATTTGAATACGGTGACAAATAAATGTATTTTTTTAAATCATCGATTTTTATTTCGCTCTTCCTGGAAAGTTTAAACTGTGTCAAATGTCAAAGAGAAACGAAGAGACTTGGACATTCACACACACAAAAAATTGCTTGAAAGTTAGATTACACTTCGATTAAATAACGTAATAAACGAAAATGCTAAAGATAATGTGTTTGAATTGTTACATAATGATGAATATGAATACCAAATAAGAGAAGAATAGTGGTTTCACCGGAAACCACAGAAATTAAATATTTAATTTTGTCGTTTCACTACGGTCCAAAGGAAATTATAATCCTGTCATCCCTCGATTACATGACTTGTAAAAGCGAAATTATGGAGGAAGCATCAAGATTTAAGTGTACAACGACGAAATTAATAAGATTTTGAGATTTATTGTTCTTGTAATTATTAGAAAGAGAAAGTTTATTACATGTTAATTTATGGGGAATTAAAATAGCATCAAATTGGATATGTTTTGAGCAATTTGTCGTTTAATGGAGACAATGATATCAAAAATTTTATACTTAGTTGTTTTTCAGTATTCACGACTCGATGTTAAACACAAATTTATTAATAAAAAATAATAAATTGCGTTTTCTTAGGGTTTCACAGTTATTAAACTCTGTACATGTACAAACTTCTTTATTTTTTACCTCTGTGATTGAAATCACCTACAATAGTCATAATTCTAAAGTTTGAACCTTCCTTTTAAGGCAGTGAAAATTTTATATCTTTCTAAGAAAATTAGAATTTGTAAAATAACTTAAAAAAATTTTATTTAGAAAACTAAGAAAAATAGACCAAAAAACGTATAGTTGAAAAACATAAGTTTGATTGTAATTCATTTATGAAACACTCTGTTTACTTTTTTTTTAATATGTTAAAATACTTAAAATTTAAAAGTTGATAATAAGCTTTTTGAACTTTTGATGACACCTCTCATATAAATTTTTAAAAGTGATTTTTGTGGTTCTAGATATAATAAAAACCACGTATTTTATGACCACACTTTACAATATTTCGATTAATGTGAGAAAAATACCTTCAAAAAGGTTAAATAACAATTAAATTGTGTTCACATTTGCTTTTAAAATTGGGTCTCATTAATACCATCATAAAATAACACAATTAGCTATTGTTGTGAGATGTGTACGTGTTAATTAATAGAATGTTGTGTTATGAATATGAAACAATCTATATTTTCATTCTCTTCGAACAATATTAAAGCTATAGTTAAACTATAGACAATAGTAGAGAAAATCAATTATTATTCGGTCAGTGAGTTTGTGCAAAAACGTGTTGAAAATATCGTTTCGTTTATTTTTTGACCGATTTTAATTATTTTTTATTACAGAGTGTCTAAGCTATGATTATCTTATCAATTAAAAATGTATCAAAATATGGTTTTTATTATTCAAAATTGTACAATCTCAATTAATACAAGAATTAGACTATGTTTTGTAGATAATAATTATAAGTAATTTTTAGTCCTAGGTAAGGTATAAATATAGGTAACCAACAATACTGCAATACGCTATTTTAAATGTTACGTTAAATAAAATAAACTGAATTAAAATCATCAACGACCAAAACGCGAATAAATAAAAGTACATTTTTGCACAATTTTTTAAATAAATTATTATTTTTGTTAATTTTCAATTGTTCAACTTTTTCATTCTTGGTGCATGTTATAATTGATTTTATTTTTTATCTAAAATAAAATAATCGTACAAAATGCATTACAACAAAAAAAAATCTGTTACTTTAAGTAATAGTAAGTAGTACTTAACAGTACTTTCTTGTATACTGCGTAAAATTATTGGCTGCCTAACTCTTCTTGCAACATATAAATAAATACGAGTAAAAAAACAATAAAAACATAGTGTTTTTATTGTAAAAATACAAATTTAAAAGAATTTAAAAATTCTCAATTCTCTATTTAAAAAAAAATAATTTTAGAGTTCAAAGATATACAACTGTAAAAAACAAGTTTCACAAGTATAAAAAAAAAAAACTAACTACATTTGGATGTTTTCACCAATGTATGTTTTCAATTTATCAGATTTTATTTTAGTAAAAACTAGAAAATACTGTTGGATTCGAAAATATTGTTTAAAAATTTAGGGGGACTCGCGGCTTTGCCGCTCGCCCTGTTGTTTTCTTGACTCTTTATACAAAAACAATTAGTTTTTGAAGGAAAATATAAATTGAAAACTTTTTGACACAGTAAATTGTTTGTTGCCTATATCTACAAGATAATTCGTGTAAAACTATATTCTAAAACTATATCCCTATATAACCAGTAATACGTTAATTATTGCTAACTTGATACATTGACTCATAAAAATAATTAATTTAACTTCTCATTATGTTTTGGACATCCTTGAAAAAAACGTCATGTATAAACTTTAATAAATGTAAGTAATTGTCAGATTGACAGCTGTCAATAAAGTTCAAAAATATTAAAATTATGTTAAACCAATCAAGTAGGAGTATATTATAGACATTGTATTTTTGTCTGCATTTTGAAAATGTTTGTATTTTTTTCTGAAGATGTATTAGAGTTCGGTAAATATGAGAATTATAAATGTTCTAGGGAAAATTAAAAGAGCAAAAAATGTTTGAACTTATATTTTGTTATAAAAATACAAAATTAACTTATTTTAAGTATAAAACTTAACGTATAAAGCTTTCTCATAAGTTACATTTAAAAAAACTATGTACAACACACAGACTGCAACAATGTATCTAAAAAAATACAACAAAAAAATACATTTGCACCCTTCTTATACAAAATAATGCTTGTTATTAATCACATTAACTAGTATCCAAAAGAGCATCAAATTAACTGGCATCGTAGTAATTCCCCTGACTTTAATATCCACCAGACCCACCAGATGGGGCTCCGTATTCGCTCGAGGGAGCGCTAGGAATAGAGGGGGCACCGTATTGCGACTCAGGAACTCCACTAGGGGGGTACCCTCCACTTTCCTGTTTCTATAAAAAAAAATGAAATAAAAACCTAGAGATTTTTAAAATTTTAAGTTTCCAAACCTGAGTCTTGTATCTGATGAAGTAAACTTCCGGTTTGCTCGGTTGCGTGGGTGCCGGAGTCGGGATATGAATTTCCGGTGCTTCTTCCGGTTTCTTGACCAAAACGTAAACCAAGGTCTTTTCTTCATTCTGGGGTTGGACTGGGATAACGGGGGCGGTGGGGGTTGGAGGAGTTGGGGCTTTGATGAAGATGATTTTGTAGTGTTTCTGGGGGGCTGCCACTTGGATGGGTCTTTGTGGGGCGTGCACTTCCGGTTCCGGGGGCGGGACGTGGACGTAGACGTGTTTGTGGACTACTGGTTGTTGGGCGGGGGCGCCGTATTGGGGGGCGGGGGCCCCGTAGCTGCTGCTGGGGGCACTGGGGGCGCTGTAGCTGTAACCGGCTTCGGGGCGGGCGTACGCCGCCGCCATCACGGCGGAGATTACCTGGAAAATGGGAGTTTCGTAAGGAGAAAGTGGTGGAGATAATTGTGGTGGTTTGCGTAATTGCCCATAACGGATGCTACTTGTAGTATGTGGAGCGACTTGGGTGCTTATTAAAGTTTTATTACAAGGAGGTTTTAATAAAGCGCTTTCACAGAGTGATTAATGGAGGTTTAATAGGGATATCAATTTTGTTTGGTAATTTTTGGACGTTCCTTTCTCTGTTTAATTGTAGGAAAATTTTTTGGAATTTTTTTGTACTATCCAATGATAAACTCGCAAGAGATTTTTTGTTTTTAGGTACAGCAAAAAACACAAATCTTTCATTTAATTGTTATTGGTTAGGTTTATTTCTTCCTAATAATCATTGTAAAAGTGTAAATCTAATCACAATTTCAATAGAGCGGATAAAGATTAAGTTTTGCACCAAGTAGCGTTTTTTGAAATTGTTGTCAAATTTATTCATTTCATTGTGGTTGACGTATTATAAATGTAATCACAATTTCAATAAAGCAGAGTAAAAAATTTGTTTTTTTTTATATTAGTTTAAAAATAAAGTGTCGAATTTCGAAAAAGTTTCACTTTCTTATTAAACAAGTTTTTGTCTTGCATTAATAAAAAATATTGTAATTTGTGGCCAATATTAACAAGTAGTAATTCGTTGTTTTTATTTTGACTATAGTTCGACTCCCTATTTCAGTATCACCTGTGTTTTTTTTTTATTTTTTTTTTTTATTATTTTATTTTTTTTTTGTATAAATGTCATACAGCGAGCTTTCATTTTATTGCAACTATAATTCAAATTGCAATACAACGCAACTTCGTAATATTCACTGTAATGTAATAAATCTAATCACAATTTTAATAAAACGGGTAAATCGTGTAGGAATAAAATTTTCATTAATTTTGAAGAAAATTGGCAATTTTTTGAAATTGTGGTTAGATTTATTCATTTTATTGTGGTTGACATATTATAAATGTAATCACAATTTCAATAAAGCGAATTAAAAAATTTGCGATCGTATATATTTCTCATGTAACAAGAAAACAAAATAAAGCAATTTTTTTATATTAGTTTAAAAATAAAATCTCGAGCTCGAAAAAAGTTTCACTTTTCTATTAAATAAGTTTTTGTCTTGCTTTAATAAATAAAATTTGTAATTTGTAATATTAACAAGTAAAAATTCGCTTTTTTATTTTGACTATAGTTCGACTCCCTATTTCAGCAGAGATTTATTATCTGTATTTTTTTAAAGTAAATTTGACTTTATAATATTTCAAATTTTTTGTATAAATGTCATAAAACAAACTATAAATCTGATCACAATTTCAATAAAACGGGTAAAACGTGTAGGAACAAAATATTTATAATTTTGACTAAACTAGCGATTTTTTTAAATTGTGGTTAGATTGATTCATTTCATTGCGGTGTTATAATAAGTTTAATCACAATTTGAAAAAAGCAGAATTTTAATTACAATTCAAACCTTCATTACAATAAAGCGCAACTAAAATTCTTTTCAGAACTTTTTTTCTGTAATTACGTAATTAAAAAAATGTACATTTTCTGCTAACTTTAATTAAATATTTTTCCATATTTGTTGTTTTCTTTTCTTTCCTCTTTTCTTCTGTTATATTATTTCTATTAATTATATTTTGAAGTAAAGTTTTGCTTTATTGTAATTATAATTCGCAACACAATTTTAACAGAGCGCAAATAGAACTTATTTCGACCTTCCACTTTGCTTTTACTCAATTTGACTTTATATTATTTAATTTTTTTCTGTATAAATGTCATAAAGCAAACTATAAATCTAATCACAATTTCAATAAAACGGGTAAAACGTGTAGGAACGAAATATTTATTAATTTTGATTAAACTAGCGATTTTTTGAAATTGTGGTTAGATTTATTTATTTCATTGCATAAGTTTAATCACAATTTGAATAAAGCAAAATTTCAATCATAATTCAAACCTTTATTACAATAGAGCGCAACTAGAATTCTTTTCAAAACTTTTTCTGTAATTACGTAATTAAAAAAATGTACATTTTCTCCTAACTTTAATTAAATATTTTTCCAAATTTGTTGTTTTCTTTTCTTTCCTCTTTTTTTTGTTATATTATTTCTATTAATTGTATTTTGAAGTAAACTTTTGCTTTATTGCAATTATAATTCGCAACACAATTTCAACAAAGCGTAAATAGAACTTATTTTGACTTTCCACCCAGCTTTTACTCAATTTGACTTTACATTATTTCATTTTTTTTGTATAAATGTCATAAAGCAAACTATAAATCTAATCACAATTTCAATAAAACGGATAAAACGTGTAGAAACGAAATATTTATTCATTTTGACTTTTTGATTTTTTGAAATTGTGGTTAGATTTATTTCATTGCGGTGTTATAATAAGTTTAAACACAATTTGAATAAAGCAGAATTTCAATTATAATTCAAATCTCCATTACTAGAATTCTCTTCAATTTTTTTTCTGTGATTACGTAATTAAAAAATGTACATTTTTTCTACCTTTAATTAAATATTTTTCCAAATTTGTTGTTTTCTTTTTTTCCTCTTTTCTTCTGTTATATTATTTCTATTGATTGTAGTAGAAGTAAAGTTTTGCTTTATTGCAATTATAATTCGCAATCAATTTCAACAGAGCGCAAATAAAACTTATTTCAACCTTCCACTTAGCCTTTACTTAATTTTTATTGAAAACCACATACATTTTAAATACTTGCTTTACTAAAATAAAAGAAATTTAAAAATATTTTTTTGTTCTAAATATAATAATTCGAATCTTAATTTCAATAGAGTGCACCATATCCCCAATTTTTGTAAAGTTAAGCTGATGACAAAATAATCGTTTTGGTGTTTAAAAAAAAATTGGTAAAATTATTCAAAAAATTCTAGATCAGAAAGTGGAAATTGTTATTTCAGCCTACTTTTTTAAAACGCATTTTCTTTTTTGCTTTTAATTTTCTTAAATTTTGTTAAATAAAATGTCAATGTAAAAATTAAATCAGCAAAATTGTGTGTACTATTTAAACAGATTAAAAAAAAATGTGCTAAATTGGTGTCCACGTCACGGTTATTTAACCCAAAAAATGACAAAATAGAGTCATTTTCAAATAATATAGAAATTTCTAAAACAAATGCCCGGAAAAAAACATAAATTGTGTTAAAAATGTAACTCGCTTTCTTCATTTTTCTTCAATTTTTTTACACAAAAAGTGGGAATAAAAGTCTATGACCTGCGACAATTAAACTAATTGAATTCTTATGCGTTTCATCGATACTTTAGAGACAATAGCCGATTAATGAGCTTCCGTGTAAAAAAATCAGGTCAATTACTCCACTTGACTTTCGCTGAAACCCGATACTGTAATTAGTACCACCAAGAGTGAAAAATAAAAAATCAGTCCTTAAAAAATCCACCACTGGTATACACCCCGCACACACGATACCTACCACAAGAAATTTCATCGTTGCACTTTGCAATCAAGCACAGAACTAGAAACCTTCTTCAACCTCCACCTATTTATACTCGCCACCCTAAAATCGCCTCCGTAAAAAATCCTCGAGGTGGGGTACCGAAGATGAGTTAGGCCGAAAAGCCCCCCCTCATCGCTACTTTCTTACACTCATAGAATGATGAAAGGTAAAAGTACGGTCAACATTCTTGAGTAATAAAGTGACGCCCTTGCCTGTCGTAATGTGTAACTTTTGAAAATTCGGTGATTTATGTAAGAAGAGATGTGGATCTCGAGGCGTTGCGAAAAGTGATTTTTTCGCTGACCTGTTTCCACAAGCGTTACGGAAAAATTTTCTAGAGCTTAGACGGAAGTCGGAATTGTTTCGCTCTGTTCCGGTACTTGACGAATTTCTTCGTATTCAAATCGATGAACATTTTGTAATTCGCGCATTGTTTTGGGTAATTTGAAT